CCCAAACAGGGCCAGAGCAGTCCTCCCGCCTCAGCCTCCTGGTCTGTAGACCTGTGGCACTGCCCTCATGGCATCATTAGCATCGCTTCCACTGGCTCTGCTTTTGGCTTGTGCTCAAGCCAAGTCCCTTCGCAATACTCAGCAGGGCCCTTTCTGTCAAGCCGACTTCAGCCTCCCTCCCTATGTGGCTCCACTCCCCGCAGCTCCGCCACCCAGATCTCACGTGCCACGTCTTGTGGCAGGAGGCCGTCGGCTCACCTCCACCTACCTACCTGTGCAGGTCCCTGAGTGTGAGCAGTGTCTCCTCGGTGTCCAGCGCCACCTCGAGCAGCAGCTCGGTACACAGTGTGGACTCAGAGGATATGTATGCAGATCTGGCCAGCCCTGTGTCCTCAGCCAGCTCTCGGTCCCCCACCCCTGCCCAGACTAAGAAGGAGCGAGGTACGGGCCGGCACCGGGGGCGGCTTGGATCGGGAGAGCACGTCTAGGCTTGCAGCACACGCAGGAGCCCTGATGGGTTTGCCCTGGCAGGAAAATCTAAGAAAGAAGATGGGGTTAAGGAGGAAAAACGGAAAAGGGATGTTGCCACGCAACCACCCAAGTCCTCGAAGCCCACGGCCGGTGGGAAACCCTCCCAGCAGCCCGCAGCTCCGGCCCCCACCCCCCCTGGGCAACCTCCACAGGGCTCCTTCGTGGCCCACAAGGAGATCAAGCTAACGCTGCTGAACAAGGTGAGCTGGCCAGGTGGGCCCTCCAGAATCCAGGTCCTGTCCCTGCAGCTCAGGTCCCCACCTAGTACCAGAGCCACTGTATGATCAGTGGGGAGCCACTTGCTGGGCCCCTGGCAAGGGAAGCACCAACGAGGGACAGCAGAGAACAGACCACAGCTACATGTTCCGCTTCTTGGCAGTAGCCGGCCCACATGCGAGTTTGTACCATGTCATTTCAGGCAGCTGACAAAGGAAGCAGGAAGCGGTATGAGCCAGCAGATAAGGACCGGCAAAGCCCCCCAGCTAAGCGGGCCACCCAGTCACCAGACCGAGGTGAGCTGCCTTCTGGGACACAACAGGGCACCCATCTGCTGCGGAGAACCACTGAGAAGCCCCAGGGAACTTCTGACCCCTGTTTATAGTAAGAGGGGCCAAACAGAAAGCTCCTGCGTGTGTTTATTTCAAAGTGATAGAACCAGGGGTGCAACTCAGTGATAAGCATTTGCTTAGATTGCACACAGCCCTAAACACCACTCTGGGGGCTGGGAAAATAGCTCAGTAGAATAGGCACTTGCCTGGCAAGTGTAAGGTCCTGAGTTCAATCCCTGGTACTGCAAAATAATAGTAATAATAATAATAAACCCCACTCCAGCACCTCCAGCAGGCAGGCTAAATAATTGGGTTGGTTGGTTGATTGGCTTGTTTGTTTGAACCAGGGTCTATGTAACCCAGGCTGGCCTCAAACTTCTGATGATCCTCCACCCTCAGCCTCCTGAGTGCTGGGATTACTGGTGTACAGTAATGCCTACCTCTTAACACAATACAATTTTTTATGAAAAACAGTCCTTTCTAACACCAGGTTAGAGGACAGGTGAGATGACACATATAGGAGGCTGAGGCAGGAGGATCACTGTGAGATTGAGGATAGCCTGGGCTGTGTCGTGAGTTCACACTAGGTCTCAATGACACAGCAAGAACCTGTCTCAAAAAAGAAAGGGTTGGGGATGTACCTACATGGTAGAGCACTCCTGGGCTGGTGAGCCACCTTGACACCTGAGCTAGACTCTTGGAGAGAGGTGCTGGGCCTGTTTGGCAGCCAGTGGTTTCATCTTGCCCTATTCCCAGGTTCCCGGGACCGGAAGTCAGGTGGGAGACTGGGCTCCCCGAAGCCAGAGCGACAGAGGGGCCAGAACTCCAAGGCCCCAGTGGCCCCAGCAGACAGGTGAGTCCCTGCTACATAGGCCCAGCCTTTCCTGGGCCCAAGCACCATGCCTGTGCCTGCCCCACAGAAGGCCCAGGCCAGGTCACAATTCACAGGCAGCTTGGAGGCCGGGGGTGGGAGGGTTGGGAGGGGCACCAGGGGAGGCACCTGTCCTGGCTAGCCACGCTGTTCCTAAGTGGCTCAACAGAGTGGAGTGGCCTGGCCTCACCAAGGCCGTGGGGGCAGGGAAGTGTGACTGGACCGGAGAGGGTCTGAGTGGGCAGTGGCCCAGGGTGTCCATCACCACTCCATCACCACTCACTGGGACACCAGTGGCCCAGGGTGTCCAAGCACTGTCCTGTGGTACCTCCTATCTCGTCCTCCCCTGCAGGAAGCGCCAGCTGTCGCCCCAGTCCAAGAGCTCCAGCAAGGTGACCAGTGTTCCTGGCAAAGCCGTGGACAGTTCAGCCGCAGGCACCAAGGCCGGGAAGGCCAGCACGCTGTCACGGCGAGAGGAGCTCCTGAAGCAGCTCAAGGCCGTGGAGGACGCCATTGCTCGCAAGCGGGCCAAGATCCCCGGGAAGGTGTAGCAGACTCTTGTGCGTTTTTATAATAGGGTAAGCGCAGCCATTTCGGATTTTGCAGTTAATGTCTTATTTTGGCTGTGATTCTTTTTAAAAATTAAAAAAGAAAAAAAAAAGTTTCTCAGCTGGAAAAGAAGCTACACAGGAAATGAAGATGATGCTGAATCCCAGCTTCCTGAGACTGAACCGGCGCTCCCAGAGCCAGAGTCCTGCCAGGCAGTTGGGAGGGCGGCCGCACACCCAGCAGCAGTCGGGCCACCACCTCTGTCGTCCCGCAACCACAGAGGCCGCCTGCCAACTGCTGGGCAGCGTCTGCACCACATTCTCAACTACAATCTGATTGGGAACTTCTTCCTTTTATTTGAAGCATCAAATTGTTTTAGTTGATTTAAAAAGGAAAAGGATACAGAAAAGAAAAAAAAAAAGGCCAAGGCTATTGTGGGGCATCTAATGTGCAGGAGGGTCTTTTTTTTTTTTTTTTTTTTTTTTTTTTTTGAGGGATCTCCTAAAATAAAATATTTTGATAAGCAGTTTTGTGGCACTGGTGACGTTTGTGCTGGGCTGGCTCAAGTGTCTCCTGCCCCTATGAAGGCATCCCCCAACCCCAGCAAGCGCTGTGCCTCAGTTTCCCATTGTGGGCTGGGCTGGTACCTGTGCTGCTTCCCCTAGGCCAGGCAGGTGAGCTCAGGGTGGCCCCAGCCTGGCTGCACTGATGGCTCCCGTGCCAAGGGGGTGCTGTGCCCACTTGGACTGGCCATAGCAGGTGTCACTCCAAAGCTGCACTCAGAACAGGCACTGTGCAGCCAGACCCTGGGGAGCCCACTCAGCCGGTCCCATCTGTGTCCATGTCATAGCCATACAATGTCCTCTTGCATCACCTCAGGTTCCATCACTCGGGAACTTCGGAGCTGCGTCTGCCGCCAGCCATAGCCATGCCCTCACTCCCGGGGCAGCCTTCAAGGACCACACACATCAGCCTATGTAACTGCTTCCAAGGCTCAGTGCGGGCACCCCACTGTAGGATGCTCCCCTCCCACCCCCGGATGTCAGCCCTGGCCCGGGGACCTCTCAAGAAGTTGAGGCCCTGCTGGCAGTGACACCTGGCATTTGCTGGTACAGGTGTCTGGGGCCACACCCATCTGCCCATGCATCTGGTGACAGCACCTCCCAGGCACCTTCAGGCTGGGTGTCTGTGACACTCCGTCTCCATCTCTCTCTCTCTGCCTGCGTCTTCGTGTCTCTGTGTCTGAGTCAGGAGCATGAGTCTCATCCAGCCAAGGGCCTGGTCTAGGAATCCCGGACTGTAGTTGGGCCTCTGGGTCTCAGCCAGGCAGCCCAAGACCCATCCACTGGGCAGTGCTGTTTGCTAGAGACATGGGTGAAGAGTGGGTGGTCAGGGCTGTATGGGGCCCAGCAAGTGTTGGTGTCTGGTCGCCTGGAAAGCACTGCTCCTCAGAGGGCTGCTGATTTTGGATGGCCCCACGAGCGTGTCCCTTTGCTGGCCAGCTCAATCTTGATGCAGGGGCTAGAACCTGAGGCCCACATCCTGCAGCAGGCAGAGCCCCTCGGGCTGACCACAGTGGGCCAAGCAACTGACTGGCTGTGCACAGGGCTCTGTCCTTGGAGTCCCTGAGCACCTACCTGCATCTGACCTAAGGACCTGGTTTTGATAGGATCAGGGTGGCCCCTGATATGGTGACCCTGTCCTCATAAGACGGGATGGGCATGGAGGGCCAGGCAAAGACCTTGTGATGATAAGGAGTCAAGCAAGGCTCGTGGAAGCCAAGACATCAGAGCCGGGAGTCGAGGCAGCCAGGGAGTTTCTCCCTCAGAGACCCCAGGAGCAGGCTTACCCACACCCGACACCACACGTGAATGCATTTGTGTCACTGTAAACACCCCAGTGCAGACTGCAAGCTCCCTGTCATAGAGGTGTGGGAGCAGACATGACAGTGGTGACCACTGGGAGGAGCAGCCTCGGCTCGGTGTCCTCAGTTACAAGCCCAGAGAAAAAGCCGTGGCAAGTAGGGATAGCGCGCCTCTGCCAGAGAGGACCTGTGGGTGGCAGACAGCTGCTCCCGAAGAGTGGCATCCAGGCCCTGCATTCCAAACCTGCTTCTGAGGAAAACAAAGGCCCAAACCCCACAAGGAACACGGAGTCAGCAGTGCGCTGCTCAGCTCTCTGAGGGCCTTGGGTTGGGACAGTGCTGCAGAGGGCAAGGATACTTGGTCTTCTGGTCCCTGCCAGGATCGAGCTGTGCCCAGCCCCCAGGGAGAGCCCAGCCAGGGTGGGGAGTGTCCCTGGGGCAGGCCCAGTGGGCCTGGCAGGGCGTGGCCCACTGCTCACTGGGGCAGTGCTGGGACAGGAGGAAGTCCAGGCCTGTGGCCCTCACTTCTGGGAGGAAGCCCCTGGAGTTTCCCAGGTGTGGCCCCAGGTATAAAGAGCACATGGCCAGGGCCTCTGCCAGGTGTGCCACTGGGATGCCAGCAGAGCTACTACAAGCCATGCCTGTGCCTGCTGCTGCCAGCATCGCTACTGCAATGGTGAGCCCAACACTACTACCCGGGCCCCTTTCTGACAGTGCCACCAAGAAGGGATCTGAGAGAGGGAGTCAGCCACTCTGGCCTGGAGCCTGGTGCTGGGGGGCCAGACTCCCTGGGCCAGCCTGTTTCCCTGTATACCAAGGGAGGGCTGTACCCCTTTCCCCCAGGAATGGAGGTGAGGGCCCCTCCTAGCGTTGCTGACACACCCTCTCCTGCCCCCAGCTCTTCTCTGCCATCCTGCTTCTGACCCTGCTTTCTGAAAGCCTGGCTCATGGAGATGCCCCACACTGGGGGACCCCACGCTGCTACTCAGCTGAGGAGCTGCCCCATGGGCAGATGCCCCCACACCTGCTGGCTCGAAATGCCAGATGGGAACAGGCCCTGCCTGTGGCCCTGGTGTCCAGCCTGGAGGCAGCCATCCCCAAGAGGCCTCTCAAGGGGCCCCCAGCCAGGTCACAGTGTCCTACGCTGACTCCCAAGCAGGTGCTGCAGGCGGATACTCACGAGCGCTCCATCTCACCCTGGAGATATCGGTGAGCCCAGGCACAGCAGGCAGGCTCTTCCCAGCCTTGGGACTCTGATTGCCAACAGGGGCCAGCCCAGCTCTGCCCAGCCCAGACCTTTGGAGAGGGCAGACCCTTTGCTGGGGCTCCTGGAGAACCCAGGAGGGGTGGAGCACAGGCCCATGGGGCTCCGGGACAGGCAGGGTGAAGCCTCAGCTCACCACCTGGTCTCTAGGGTCGACACAGACAAGGACCGCTACCCGCAGAAGCTGGCTGTCGCAGAGTGCCTGTGCCGTGGTTGCATCAATACCAGGACTGGCCAGGAGACACCTGCACTCAACTCCGTGGCCCTGCACCAGAGCCTGCCTGTGCTGCGCCGCCAGCCCTGCTCCCGCCACGGATCCAGCACCCCCACGCCCGGGGCCTTCACCTTCCGTACCGAGTTCATCCGCGTGCCTGTGGGCTGCACCTGTGTCCTACCCAGGTCGGCCCAGTGACGTGGGCCAGAGCCCTGAGTTCTTCCTATTTGTATCTATTTATTGCTATTTATTGCCTAGATGACCTTCACTGCGGACCATGCCCATGCTGTCCCAGGGCTTGCTCCTTAATGGCTCTCCAGGGTCAGCTCACCTTTTCGCCAGGAGGAAGGGGCTGCAAGGAACTCAAGCATCTCAAAGTGGAGCGCCTTTGCCTGGACCAGGCTCCACTTCTCAGCCATCAGGCAGGGGAAAGTACCTGCTTCTTCACAAACATTTATTTCACATGGAAGCTGCGCTGTTAAAGTGCAAGACCCTGGGCCAGTGTAGTGGTGCACACTTGTAATCCCAGCACTTGGGAGGCTGAGGCAGGGGGGGTCACCTCAAGTCCAGCCTGGACTACATAGGGGAGCCTGTCTCAAAGACCATGAATAACATAAAAAATCAATAATAGAGGGCCAGCGAGATAGTTCAGTGGACTAAACACCTACTTACGCAAGCGCAGGGATGGGACTGATCCCCTGGCACCACATGCCATGCCGACCCTGCCCCCGGCATGCTGAGCCGGCTGGCCCGGCATGGTGGCACACACCTGTAATCCCTGGGCTGGGGAGGCTGAAAACAGGAGGATCACTACAAGTGCAAGCTGTGTATGAGACCCTGTGCCAAACATTAACATAAATACCAATAAATAAATAAGATGACCAAGCCTCCCCTCTCCTCTTCCCCTGCCCACCCAGGGCTGCACAGGTCCGCCCCTGGCAGGTGCACGAGGCATTCGCCACAGATGGGTGTCAGCCTCCACACTCAGTCGCAGGCCCCCTTCGCTCAAGAAGCGGCCGGGGACCTCTGCTGCAGGACGGCAGCACCAGCCATGCTTCCTCCAGCCCAGGAGGGCCTTTGCCCGCCGCGGGCTCTTTGGCATCCACGGCGCTGGGCAACTCTGTGGTCGGCGGGCAGAAGGGATGTTCGGGTCAGGGGTCCTGTCCACCCCCCACCCCTCACCCCGGTAGCTGCACACACACAAACTATTCAATGTGTTTATTGCAGTGACCACGGCTGCCCCCTGGTGGCCATGTGGCAGATGGTGGCAGCGCGGCCCGCGGCCCCAGGCCAGGGTCACACCACCTCATCAGTCACCGGGATGGGATTGACCTGGGGGCCTCCGGCTGCTTCATCCTCACTGGGCTTCTTGCGGGCTTCAACCGGAGGCCGGGGTGGGGGGTTGCTGGGCGGCTGCTTGATGTCTTCTGCCTGTGGTCGTTCCTTGGGCTTGGACTCAATGGCCATCCACTGCTCTCCCCGAACAGCCGCCTGGGAAGAGAGGGGCACCCTGCTGCCAGCTGCCCATTCTGGCCTCCCACCTCTCTAGGGGTCCAACTTGCAGAGTGACAGGTGGGCTCAAAGAGGTCAAGCAACTGGCCTGAGGCTACACAGCTGGACCTGAACCTGCTGGACACAGGGAAAGCAGGGCACAGCCTCCAGGTGTAGTTCCTGGCCTCCTGGCCTCCTCCAACAGCCTAAGACAGCTGGGCTCTGTCCTAGAAGCGACACCCACTTGCCCTCACCAAACTCAGGGCATTCAACAGAGATGCACACGGGCTTGCATGGGCTCCAGGTGCCTTGCCCAACAGGCAGAGTCGTCCTGGGCTCCCCTCAAGATCCCACTGCAACAGCCCCTTGGCCTGGAACACGACTGAAGCAGGCCCATCCACCTGCTAACTGTTCCAGAAGAGAGCATGGGAAGCAGCTTTGCAGCCCTAGGGTGGAGTGTTTGCAAAGCAAAAACAGACAAGCAGACAGACATACAGCCATCCTGTGGCCACAAAGGGTTTCACCTGCGAAGCCTGCAGCCTGTCACAAAGAGGAAGGTCTAGGATACGCAGGACCCACAGAGGAGCCAAGACAAAGCCACAGGGCTTCTGGCCCCAGCTTGAGATCTGTGCTGGGGAGCACAGGCGGGGCAAATAGCGTGTGGGGCACAATGTCCTTGGGCCAGTGGCAGAGTGGGTCACACTTGCCTGGTTTTAATCCAGGAGACTCGGCCTGCAGTGAGCATGCCACACCCACCCAAGTACAGCTGGGTGGGTGTGGGTGACAAGGACTGCAAGAAGGACTGGGTGAGGGCCAGTGCAGAAAGCCTACAGCATGGGCCTGGCACCATGGGCTCTCCAGCAAGAGCAGCAGAGCCACTCGGGTACAGTGACAAGCCGGAGCTGTGTACACAGTGGCCGAGCATGGCACTGCCCACAGCCCAGGCCAGGAAAGGCCCCTTCCAAAAGTCTCTCTGGCTCGCCTAAAACCCCAGCACTCTGAGGCAGGAGGGAGGATGCACATTCAAGCCCAGTTGGTA